AGTAAAAGAGAAAGAAATCTTCAAATATTAAATTATTTTCTTTTTAAGTGAGATATGGGGTGATGCCCCACACAGAATTAGTACTGTGACAAATTTACCTAATGTGTTTTGAAAATGATCTCTCAAGGATCATTACTTTTCTAATGGCTGTCGCTTGCTGTCCTTTTCATATCTCATTAATTCAAATCTTTCAGGAACTAAAGATATTTGTTTCTTTAGCCAAATCCAAGTCAGTGTCATGTCTCTGCTCAGGACATAATTTTCAAGGATATATTAAGGACATTTTTGCAAAATGTGACCAGTGCAACTTTTCCCCCTTTTATCTTTCCTTTTCAATAACATTAAACATAGTGACAATGAAACAATATGTAACAATGTGAAACTTAAACTAGCCTAGAACTAGCCTAGATAAAGACTGGTATCAGTGGTTCCCAAACTTTTTTTGCTGGGCCCCCCTTTGTTTTACAAGAAAAATATTCGCCCTAGGCAGAGGGACTGATTGATTATTTTACTTGTTTTTTTTCCTGTGTAATAATATTCAACATTGCTATCAATACATTTTTCAAAAAAATGCCTCTCTGTGCAAAATGAGTTTAAAAACATTAACAGCTGTTGGATACTGTTTGTCCCTGATTTGAACCGAGGGAACAAATCCTGGCAGGATCAGCTTGATATTATTTGTATCCCTCTGTAACTTTACCGTATAAAGAGCTAATATCTCCAAAATGTCAGGAGTAGTTATTTATTACAAAGTGTTTGTGAACTAAAAATCAAGAATGTGGGATACTGTTTGTCCGTGGTTTGAACAGCCCAGCGCTGCTCCCGACAAGGGAAAACCAATTAAGCAGGGGAGACCTACCTCTGCACTTGTGCAGGTGAAACCAAACGGAAGATATGCTTCACCATATTTTCTAGTCTTTGGCTTAGAATGAAGTTGGTTTGGAAACATATTCAGCTATGCTTCATCTCCTGCTTTGCGTTTGTGTGTCGTGCTAGCAGTGTCCAAGCATTGTTTTGTTTTTTTTCCCTTTTCATGCCGCCCCACCCCCCGCAATGGCTCTGCGCTCCCCCTAGGGAGCGGGCCCCACACTTTGGGAAGGTCTGGGTTAAAGCAACTTTTATGATATGCAAGTCTTATGATACACTCTTGATAACTCGTGACACCAGTTCTATTTTAAAAACAGCCATTTATATGTACAGCATGGCTTTGACTAAGGGGTAGACATCAGAAAACAAAAATATTTTATTTGTATTTATCTAGTCAGATACACAGATACAATTCACCTTTCATCAAGTTTTACTTATTGTTTTTTATTTTTACATCCCTTCACTGTAATATCCAGTCGACCGGCCAGGCATATTACAACAAATCTGAAACAAAAAATGCAAGTGTGTGACTCAACTCTGGCAAATCAACTAAAAAGTGAATTCTACTGGTGACATTGAAGTTTAACTGTCATCTGCCTATATATAATGAAGCTTATGTACCAATAAGAAAGATCGGTATACACTCATTTGTGTAGAATTCGAGAATTCCTTGAAATTGTTAGTCTGCTTGCAGTAAGCAAACTGTAACGGGT